CCACCAGGGAGATATAGAGTCTGCCCTCCCAGCGGCCAGCGCTGCAGCTTCCATGCAGAACAGCGACGTGGTCAAGACGCTGAGGGACCTCATCGAACAGGTGAGCCACGGATAGCGGATGTCTTGTCACGGTTTTTTTATTACATGTTAGCAGAGGAACGGATAGCGGATGTCTTGTCACGGTTTTTCTGTTACATGTCAGCACAGGAACAGATAGCGGATGTCTTGTCACGGTTTTTTTTATTACATGTCAGCAGAGGAACGGATAGCGGATGTCTTGTCACGGGTTTTTTTTCTGTTACATGTTAGCGGATAGCGGATGTCTTGTCACGATTTTTCTGTTACATGTTAGCAGAGACACGGATAGCGGATGTCTTGTCACAGTCCAACAGTGATGATGAAGTGCTAGTGGAAACTTTAGTCACTGTTCTCTTTGTTCATTTTCTTTTAGATATTAGTTTTAGGGGGTTTTTTGGTTGGGTTTTTTTTTTCTTCTGATTTTTAGTAATTGATTCTTACTCCCTTGACTGTTGACCATATAATATATGTGAGACGTGCTGACTAAATGAGTTACTTCTCATAATCAGTAAATGAAGAACTTGGCTAGAAATCGACGCAGGGGTCAAAATTTGTAGATTTTCTGTTGATGTTATATTCTTTAAGTAAAAAATGCCTTTTATTATTTGATGCTTATAAATTGTAAAAACTTCAGCTATAAGCGTGATGTATCTATTGTTATAGGGCTCGAATCCGAGAAGTAACTCATTTTGTCAGCACGCTTCACATATTCCTCTCATGTACCGAGGAAAATTCTACCACCAGGCGTAAGACGTCACAGGTCTTTATCTTTAATTGACAGTTTTTCGCTTGTTACTAGAGACAGATTGGTCAAAACTATATACAGGGGGGAGCAAAAGTAGGTATACAGTTGGGAAAAAAGGAAAGGAAACGTGTAGGCCTACAATTCTTATTGCATATATTGTACAGTCAAATGAGAATTGCATGCACGTGTAAGAACAAAAGCAGCCTTCATTCCTCTGATACTCAAACTGTTAGTCGCTGGTATTCACTCACTCCTCGAATAGTCTTGGTCAATTGAGTATCGTAACAATGATGTGACACCTACTGTGTACCTACTTTTGCACACCCTCGAATAGTCTTGGTAATATAATAATAATTGAAATAAATAACGATTTTATTGATCCCAGAAGGGCAATTTGGTTTACAATCACAAACAAACGTACGACATAAATACATAATTATAAATACATACATACATAACTACTCACACATAATACATAAATACACAATATTCCACCTATACAGAACAATCTCACAACCATACCATTGCTGGTCGCCACTGTGAAGCGCCCTGTATTTTTTTAGAACTAGGGTTGCCGTGTCTTGGTCAAGGACACACCCCAGTGACCACCCATCTGATCCCCGTGTCACCGACACACACATACACACACACACACACACACACACACACACACACACACACACACACACACACACACAGTGACCACCCATTTGATCCTCGTGTCACCGACACTTGCTTGACTTTACTCTTGAATCTAAACTCACCTCTCACTTAGCCACTGGAGCCCACCAGTTTAGTATCATAACTATGATGTGGTACCTACTGTATACCGACTTTTGCACACCCGTGCATGTGTATCACCTCAAATCTTCGGCATTGGGTGGTTCACAGATGCTTTGATATCGTTTGCTCCTTCTTTCCTATCAAACAGCTATCGTCCTTATCTCTCCTTGAGCTTTTCTCTCTAGTAATAACCACCCGCCCCCCTCCCCCCTTAATCTCAGGCATTCATGCGATCTTTTTGTTGCAAGCACCATTAAACTCATCTTTTAAAAAAAACCCAGAAACAAACAAACAATCTTTGGCACTTATATGACCTATTTGTGTTGAAAGTGCCATAAAACTCTTACTGTGGGTGGTTGGCGGGTGCTCTGATGTGGTCTGCTTTTTCTTTCCTTTCAAACATCTATCGTCCTCATCTCCCCTTCGTCTTTTTTATGTTTTTTACTCTCTTGTAACACCTCTAATCTTCTGGTGCTGATATGACCTTATGCAGTTGCGAGCGCCGTAGAACCTCTACTAAAACTGAAAAACTAAACTGTGGTCAGTAGATCTTTATGCTGTCCCACTGTCTTTGGATTCTGTTGTGTTGTAAGCACCAAGAAACTCATCTTTTGCAAAACCCAGAAAGAACCAAATAATATTTTGCACTTCTATGACCTGTTTGTGCCATAAAACTGTTGTACTAAAACTAAACGTAAGTAACACGTCTTGTTGTCTGTCTGTTTGTCTCAGGTGAGCACCATCAAAGCAGAACGGGACGTCATCGAGTCGGAGCTGAAGGAGGCCAAGTTTGACATGAGTAAGTTATACGTCTGTCGCAGAGTTTGTACGTCTGTCGCAGAGTTTGTACGTCTGTCACACAGTTTTTGTTTCTTGTTTTAGTAAGGTTTTTCGGCGCTCGCAACTGCATAAGGTCATATGAGCGCCAAGGGGCGGATGTCAACAGAGAAGTCCTTACCTGGACGACGAGGAGAAG